TCTGCCTGCCTGTACTATATTCCACAACTCTTAATAACACTGACTGGTCTTTTAGCTCCTCTAGGGGCTGGAACCCAGGTCCTCAAAGGTGTTTGTGATGGTCTATTACTATTAGGTGTGCTGGATTCTTTTTCTGGTTGTTTAAGTGGCCATTAGGGCTAATAGAAGCCTCCAGTACCATCCTAAATGATCTAGCTTTGACTGGGTTTCCCAGTAGTGCATGACATGACCAAGTTACAGTCAGATTCCTACTTTCACATATACCTGACAGGAGGGAGAGCCCACTGGTGAGGGTTCTGGCACTGCCAGCTGGGCGACTCAAGTGGTGCTTCCTTTCCACTGATGTCCTCAGTGACCTTGAGCAAATAATTCAGGGCTAGATCCTATGTTCTTTTTATGCCTAAATGACACATACCCAGCTTGGCACTTGCTCCCACTTGGGCACTTGCACACATTTGCTCTATTGATGCTGGCCCACTGCACCTTTCATTTATATTCATTGCCTAAAATAGATAAACAGCACGGGGAAAGTGCCTGCCACATTGGGAGGAACCTACAGCCATCCAGGGAGGCATCCATCTGAGCCACACCCCCTTCCCCAGCTTGTTTGCTTTCTCCTGGCACCACATATCTCCTCTTGGTTGTCCCACAAGCCAATTTCAAGTAGAGAACTGCAGCACAGTCTAGCCTATGGTCCAGTAGTTAGCATGCTTTGCTGAGATGCAGGTTCAAACTGCCTCTGGGAGACAGTGACCTGAAACTTGGCTCTCCTGCTCCCTGGGCAAGTGTCCTAACCACTAGGCTTTTGGGCTAAAAGGTGAGTGTCTTGATGTCATTCACTCTGCACCAATCATGCTTTTTTCTGTGACTTTGCTGTATTCAACACGCAGAATACTTGCCTCTGTTATAACACATTGGAGGTCTTTGAGCCATCAGTTTGAAATTGCTCAGACCATAGGACAGCTTGTTTCAGCCACACCGGGGGATGACTGCAGCATTTTGCACTGCTGACCCACCCCTTCTTGATTCTGGTACTGTCCAGCACCTCTTCATAACCCCTCATAGGGGCTGGAGGCAGAGGTAGGATCAGTCTCATATTAGAACTCAACCTTAGCTGTAGCATCACAATGAGTGTCTCTTTAGCTAGATGAGAACTGCATAGTTTAGCACTGTGTTGAGTTCACTCAAAGCACTCCTGTGTACGGGTATTAGCCCCTTGGCTTTACTTTCACTATCAACTTCTCTCCCGCAGGCTGGCCAGTATGCCTCGGTTTTTGTAGACAACGCCACAGGATCATCCCTCACTGTGCAAAGTGGCTCGGATTTCAGTGCTGTTCTGCTGGGGGTGTGAATGGCTTCCAGGCACTTGGCCCTTCATCCAAAAATACCTCTTTCCTTTGTCCCACTGTAAACTGTACCAGATCCTTCTTCAAAAGCAATTCAACCAACTCTCACCCAAGCATGGGGAAGCACAGCACCGTGCAATCAAGAGCAGCCAGCTGCACAGATTCAGTTGTCAAAACCACCAGGTTGGTACATTGCATGAGATAGCAAGCCTCTACAGAGCTGCAGGTAAAAACCCTTGAGGCATCACAGGCTAGAGGAGACTCACTCGAATCACCCCCTTTAATTTATTTTGTGAAGAACAGTTGTCAAGCCTTATCATCTATGGACAATCTTGCACTGTTGCCGACTTCCAAAGGCAGTAAGCATCTGTACTTAAGAAAGAACAGTTTGAAGACTGCACAAGCCTTTCAAGCCAGAGATTAGCAGGTTTTTGTGATCAGTTGTTCAGCAGCTCAAGCCAAGGTTTTGCATAGCTTCAGCTTTTTTGCAACATATTTGTAGTTAAGGTGGTTAAGGTTTGTTGGTAGGTGGCAGCTCATCTCCAGAGCAGAGCAGCGTCATGAGAGTCACAGGCTGGGTGTAAAACAAATAGCTATCCAGTCATTTCCTACTTCCTAGCACCAGTGTTTTAGCAGCAGCACCACCTCATCTCCTTGGCACAGAGCCTGGTCAATGGGTGGCAGAGATACTTGCTGTCACTCCTCATTTTGGTCTTGATAACACAGTCTAATGCTGATGAAGCCAGCAGGCCTACGTGTGTACGTGAGGGCTGGGGGTTTGCATCTCGAGGGGTGGAGGAGGAAAAGCTGCAGTTTAAATTTCTCAGTACTGTGTACTTAATCCTGAGCTGCTGCCAGAACTTCAGTGAGATATCCTAGGACATGCAGCCCCACCTTCATGACAACGGGACCCTTTGCACGTAGGCACACAGAGGTATAACCCCCTCCAACTGTTATCTTTTCAAAAAGCTTCTGCAGCTCTGGATGGGGAGGGGCGGCGGGGGGGGAAATAGCTCTTCTATTTTTTGAGGGCCCTGACAGAAAACAGAACATAAAACCTATGTTCAAAGATGGGGTAAGAGAGACCCAACGCTTGCAGTCTTTACTCAAGAAGAGGTGTTACAAGGTAGCTAACACAGTGGCAGCTTAATGAAGGCAAGGCGTTGTAGTTAGTATGCAAGTTAACAGGTCAAGGTAAACATTTACCATCATTTGTCAACATGCGAGTACTGCAGGCTATTTTACCTCTGAGGACATTACCATGTATGAGCTAATGCAAGGTAAGAACACAGTTTCCACTGGCTGATGAAACAGCCGAAAGGGCAGCAGGATTTTACTCTTGGGTACAGACCCCTGCTAGGTGACTAGCAGACCACTGGAAACCAGACAGTGCAACTCTACGTAGAAATGTTGGATGATAAAAATCTATCCTATCCCCAAATCTGATTGCGTCCATAAAATAAATCCAGCCTACTGATACAAGTAACTCTATCATATTTAGAAGAGAAAGAAAAACTCAGGGTCCACAGCAGGGTTATTGCTACAGAATACCATAGTGTTCAGGACTGACTCAGGATGCCATCCTCAGCATTGAAAATACCAGCCAACAAACTGATAAATGAGCGGAGACATGGCAGCAAGACTATGTACCTAGAATTTAAAAAAAAAGCTATTTCTCAGTACATTGCTCATCCACTCAACCCTACCAGTAAACGAGAGGAGACAATTTCTTGGACTTCAAATAGGGCCAGTGGTTGCCCCCAGCCTCCAATGATGGAGTTCAGCTTGTTTGTATTCTGCAACTTCTATGGACCGTGTCAAGGATCCTTCCAAAGTTTTTCCCCCACCTGCATTATAGATAAATGTATGCTATAAAGCATTTTATGGAAATATTTATGAGATGCTATGGTAATATGGAATATATTTATGTAACTAGCTTGAGTTGCGCTTTCAGTTACATTTCTAAAAGGGGAAGAAATGACAAGTATGAGAAAAAGAAACTGTAAAGCAGAGAAAGCAGCAAGATGGAGAAAAAAAAATAAAGCACATTTTATCACTGCCAGACAGAGATGAGACAAAAAGCAAGCAGGAATAAAAGACGAGTGGAGGAGGAGCACTTCTTGGAAGCAGCAGTAAAGATGATGGACTGAAGCCCAATGCCCCATCTATTTGTATCTCTGCCACCACAGTCTCCCTGCTGGCTGGCAGGCACTATATTAGACATCTCCCTCTCCCCTCTGTCTGCATTACCCTTATTCTGATAAACTGAGAGAAGCAGGGGGATGAGAAGGGAGGCTTTAGTATCATGCTCAACATTTTCTTTCTGATACCTGTATTATCAGGATGCTTCTTCAGTGTTACTAAATAAACAAAATATTAGTTTCTCTCTTTTTCCCTCATTTTGTCCCTCACTTCTACAATACTCATTTCTGAGCCTGAAGAAATTATATCCTCAGCCTGCTCATTTCATAAACACAATTATAAACAGCAACCCTCAACTGCTATTCAGTCTGACAGGTTTGCTGGCACAGGAAATTTCTGCTCAGCTCTTCAAAACAGAAGCTTTCCAAGATATTCCTCCTATCTGTTAGCCTTCTCTGTTCCAAAGCAAAATGTGATCCATGGGAAAGAGGGAATCCCATATGCCCTGAAGTTCAGGACTTGCAATTAGACTGAGTTTACAAAACATTTTGCATTCTGCAATGCAGGGATTTCAAAATCAGCTGGTCTGTGGGCCAGATAAGAGGCCTGGGGCTGGCCCATGGGCTGGATGAACAGCACAAAGCCAGTCTGGCAAGCTGGATCAGGCCCAAGCCCCCCTTCCTCCCTACTACATGCCAGATCCAGCACCCATGGCACTCACTCCAGCTGGTCCTGGACTGTGCTGCAGGCAGTGCCCACTCTGGCTGGTTCATGGTAGATGCCATGTTTAGTGCAGGTGCCAGTTCTGGTATGCAGGGCACTCATGGAGTTGCCACTCCCCTATTCTGGATCTAGCACCTACTTTGGCCAGTCTGGGACTGCACTACACAAGGGACCTAACTCAAGGACACACACTGCATGCAGCGCCCAAGCCAGCCAGTCTGGCATGGGTGCCATGTGTGGTTTGCATCTCAGGCTGGCATCCAGGCCCAGCATGAGGCTAGATGATGTGGCTCCCTCGGGCCATACCTTTGACACCGCTGCTACAATGAAACTGAAATGCAATTGCTAGCTAGCTCACATGCACTGTAATTGTTGATCCAGAATGCTACACTTCCCTTCTTTCAATGGCCATCTTGAAGCTCTAGCTCTTCAAGGCTGCTTTTTGTAGAAGGGTGGGTGAAAGATGGCATGTAGAACTATGACTGCCTTTCACAAGCACTTATAACCAGCTACTTGAGTTTTTCACTGAATCTGGATCTCTTCTTTGCTCTTAATATGGCTAAAAGCCTCATGACTGTTTTTTTAATGCGACTTGTCTAGTCCCATTTGCCATTCTGCTCATGTTGCTGTGTAGCCACAGACAGGGTGTTCCAGCAGTTGCCACTTACCAAGCCTTCTGCTAGACTGGTGAATCCAGGTAATTTAAACTTTGTGGAAATTAATACCGGTGGCAGGTCTGGGTATTCAGATACACATACATACACGACTACAAATAAAGTGAACTAAAAACTATTAGAAAAAACTTTATTTACAATGATGAGTATCCAGTGGGGATACCCACATACACTCACACACGCACACACACTGACTTTTGTTGTTTTTTTTAAATCCACGGCATGCAGCTTTGGACGCCACTTGTACCAAGTTTTTCCTTCAGTGCTCAATCCGGACCACCATTACTGTGACGTTATCTGCTGAACCTCGCTGCACTGCTTTGTTGGCCAGCCTGTTACAGGCGGCTTCATATCTGGCATCGACTTCTAGCTTCCCTTCTCGCATTTGGATGTTCTTGTCCTGTGGAAGATGCACAGACCAAGAAAATCACACTCAGATTAAGTAGGCAAAAACATTTTGCAGTGGGTTATTCAGGATTCCAATACTTGTTACACTTTTGTGCTACACAATGCAATAGTGACTTAAGGAGCAAAACTACACAGCATCATACTTCTTTGAATTCTGTTTCTTTCAGATCTAGAAGAACAGACGACTCATGCGTGAAGGCAAATAACTGGCAAAGAAAGGTCCTATGATGGGCAGGAACCACTTCTTTGTACAGGACATGGGAACGGTAAGGTAATAAAATGGCACCATGAAGCAGACATATAACTAGGATAACATGGCAGAGGTAGCTTTACTCTTTCCAAACAGATACTTTCAACAAGCTGGCAGAGCTCACCTGTCTCAGGTAAGAGTATGCTGCTCTCCCCAGGTTCACCTTTCCTGCCTACCACCACCATTTGGAGGAAGCTACATGCAATTTCTTAGTCCTCATGCACTGATGAAACAGTGCACATATTAGCCTCTACCCAGAGCTAGCCTCTCCTCACCTCCAGGCAAGACAAGATGAAATTCACAGCTTCTTCTGGTGTGAAGACCTTGAAGAGACCATCACAGGCAATCAGGATGAACCTGGAAGAGAAGTAGAAAGGCTGGGCAATAAGCTCAGACCCTTGACCATGATACAAAATCCCCCAGTTATCTACAGAAAGCCCTCCAGTGCAATTCAAAGGATGATCATTGCAAAACGCAGCTAAGTTTTGACATCAGCCTTACTAGGTGCTAGCAAGTATGTCAGCACTCCAGAAGCTACCCTTCCACATATATAATGTGTGAACCTAAGGAGCAACGCAAGAATACAGATGCAGTAACATCCACATATCAAAGTCAAAGTCAGACTACAATTGTTAGTAATGCAAAACTGCCACTGTGCATGGCTTATGTGCAACATCTTCAACTTCTGTAGAAGCTTATTTTTTCCTTAGATGTTCTGTTCTTCCATACATCTGTCTTGTGAAGAGACTTGCAGAATAAATGGGGCATCAACAGTGCCATCCTACATTACAGCATCTGCTGACCTAAAAATTTCCAAGGGTGGAGAGTGAAAAAATAAGCAGCATACCTAGAAATATGCCAAGAGAGTGTGCAATTAAATCTGGCCTTCCCCAGAAGGCTTGTAACTGTATGAGATATTTTACCCTAAAGTTGCATTTCTCAGCACCAGCAACGATTTCAGTTGTTTTACTTCTTCAAAAGACAATCATTAACTCTTGCTGACTCTCAGGCCTAATGAGTTTGCCATGAACTATTTAACTGCTGATCACTTCTCCAAAAAAATCCAACAAATACACCAAAATACTGCTGAGTGGTGCAGTATATGTGGGGGCTGAGAAAAAAACAGGAGCAGCTTTTTAATGGCACGGGCAGAAAAACAGAGCTTCAAGACCCCTCCACCGTGTGCAGTGGAAAGAGAATATGCAGTCCATTTGTGAAAAAAGCTTCTAGTACTCTTCAGCAGATTCCCCCATCTTGCTTAGCGCACTAATTTGAGCCATGCTCTGAGCACAAAATCATTCATTTCTCCCAAGGCTTTCATTTTTCAGTGCGAGTACTTCAAAAACAATCTTTACAACACACCCATGAAGTGAAGTGCTATTATCCTCGCTGAATACTACACATATGGGCCAGGGACAGAGAGTAAGGTCAAAAGCATCCTCTAACTTTTTGTGCTCAGCCTGATTTACTTAGCATGTTGATTCACCTAGAGTTATGAGCATGTTGCATTACTCAGTGCAGTAGCCAGTGCCACTCCTGCTGAGGGTCAGCAATGCAGAAAATGCATTCCCTGCTTCACTTTCTACTTGGTTGTGCATTACCTGTCATTGTATGAGAGTTGGCAGCGTTTGATATCTGGCACAGAGATGACCCCACAGCGCTTGTACTGTCCATCACCGATGGAGCGGGAAACCTCCAGCACACCTAGTACTCGCCCATCCCTAAAAGAGGGAAAGGAAACCCACTTGAAACAAACTGGCTCAGCAGGACACCAGATTTCCCAGGTTTACACAAGTGGTCTGTGACCATATTTCCAGCTAGAAGACTTAATGCACTGATTGAGCATTATAAACAGATACTTATAAATAAAAAGATGAGGGGCTGTTCCTATGGGTGTGCTGTTGGCCATGGATGAAATCCTGCCCCCCACTGAAATCAACAGGAATAACAGCCTCCAACAGACTCAGGGATGAATAACAGCCTCCAACAGAGTCAAGATCTCTGCCCATTTCCTTTGACAAAGAATTCAAAATGAGCAAAGCCTGCACAGAAACTTCCTTAAAAATGGAGGTTGCTAGGAGGCTGCTTTGGTCTTGGTGTAACCTGATAATTGCTCAGTCTAATCAGGAACCTGATTCAGAAGCACAGAGCTGTGTGTGATACATGTAACTAAGGCCTGTAGAAATCTATTTTAAACAGGACTGTTGCCTGGCTGCTGGAGGGAGAGGCCAGAAGAAGGAGATTCTGTTTTAATAAGATATAGAGCAGAGTGCATGGGAGTGCAAATGAAGAATGCCAACACCAGGATTCAGAATGACTGAGTGATTATGCTAAAAAAAGAAAAAAAAGTAATGGCATCCACTACAAAATTTGTTACAGAATCAGTGTTTTTAATGGAAATGCCATTCTTGTGCTGAGAATCAGGCAAGACCAAGGAACTGAGTAGAATACTGCAAGCAAAAAATACAAAGTACCTGAGTGCAGCAATTTTAAAATTAGCATTACTAGCTATAGACCTGGACAAACCTTTATTTCGTAAACAGCACTGTGAAAGCTTTTGGGGATGTGTATCACAGTATCTAGCAAATAGAGCAAAGGCAGGGGTTGCCATCTCATATCCCTGTTCTATTAATATTTTGCATAGGATAAGTTATGAAGACCCATATGGGACAAGAGAAATCGGACCCAGCCCCAAAGCATCAGGGGTGAGGGTGGGGGGAGCAGGCCCATTCCCCACCTCCCCCACCTGGATGAGAAGCAGGAGTGCAGCTGAATGATGGACTCCGTCCCCTCCCACCACGATGGCGGGGAGCACGCCACCGGACCCCAACAAAAGCCGATGATGATGGTGCCATGCCACTGCCAGGCCCTGTCAACAGCTGGGAGGGAGGGAGGTTGGAAGACAGGGAGGTTGGGAGGGGGAGGCAGGTGGACGTGGGCCAGGTGGACCTGGAGCATGGGAGGGGGAGGAGACACGGACGGATGGGACAACCAGACCTGAACCCAAAGGGGAGGTGGGGGGGTTGTGACCAGACATGGACCTCTGTCCACGCTCCCACCCTTCTCCCCCACTGTCATTCTTGATGGGCAATTGGCTAGTTCAGAGATAAAAGGCCAGAAGGAACCACTGGGGCTATTTTGTCTGGCCTTCTGCACAACGTTGGAATTCCCTGCATTAATTCCTGGTTTAAGTCCAACGACTGTTCTTAAGGTGGAACATCCCTTTTTGAATCTTAACTTTATATGCTTTGATATCAAGGTATTTTATCCAAGTTCTCTTCCTCAAACAGGTTGCTCTTGCAGACTGTGACTAGGTATATACATTACTTGCTTTGATCTTCTTCTGTCTGCACATAAGAAATGTGTGACAAAATAGGGTAACCAGCTAGTTACATCAGATATCTGTACACAAATGTACAGAGCCTGGGAAACAAACAGGAAGAATTGCAAGTCCTCGCAAAGTAACAAGAACTATGACATGATTGGAATAACAGAGATTTGGTGCAACAGCTAGCATGTCTGGAGTACTGTCATGGATGTGTATAAACTGTTCAGAAAAGGACAGGCAGGGGAGAAGATGAGAAGTTGCTCTATATGTAAAAGAGCTGCATGATTGCTCAGAGCTCCAGTATGAAATTGGACATAGGCCTCTTGAAAGTCTCTGGGCTAGGATCAGAGGGGAGAACAACAAGGGTGATGTTGTGGTAGGGGTCTACTATAGGCCACCATACCAGAAGGATGAGGTGGATGACTCTTTCTTCAAACAGCTAGCAGAAGTTTCCCTATCACAGGCCCTGGTTCTCATGGGAGCCTTCAATCACCCTGACATCTTCAGGGAGGGCAATACAGCTCTGTACAGGCAATCCAGGAAGTTTTTGGAGAGTGTTGGGGACAACTTCCTGGTTCAAGTGTTGGGAGAGGGCAACTAGAGGCCATGCTCTTCTTGACCTGCTGCTCACAAACAGGGAAGAATCCTGAGGAAAGGAAGGAAACAGTGCAGCAGAATAAGGACCCTGGACTTCAGAAAAAGCAGACTTTGACTCACACAGGGAATTGATGGGCAGTGTCCCCTGGAAAGCCAGTCTGAGAGGGAAAGGAGTCCAGAAGAGCTGGTTGTACTTTAAAGAAACCTTACTGGGGGTGCAAGAACAAACCATCCCAATGCACAGGAAGACTAGCAAGTATGGCAGAAGATCAGCTTGGCTTAGCAGGGAACACTTCAGTGAGCTAAAACACAGAAATGAAGCTTACAAGTGGAAACTTGAACAAACAGCTAGGGAAGAGTATAAGAGCACTGCTTGGGCATGCAGGATGAAACTGTGAAGGGCAAAGCGCAACGAAGTTGCAGCTACCAAGGGACATGAAGTTTAACAAAAATAATTCCTACAAGTATGTCAGCAACAAGAGGACGATCAGGGAAAGTGTGGCTTTCTTAATGAATGGGGGAGGCAACCTAGTGGCAGAGGATGCACAAAAGGGTGAAGCACTCAATCCTTTTTTTACCTCAATCTTCACAGGCAAGGTCAGCTCCCAGACTACTGCACTTGGCAGCAGTTTGGTGAGTAGGTGAGCAGCTGACAGTGGTGAAAAAACAGGTTAGGGGACTATGTACAAGTCCTTGAGGTTGGACACGATACACCCAAGGGTGCTGAGAGAGTTAGCAGGTGTCATTGCAGAGCTGCTGGCCATAATCTTTGAAAATTCGTGGCAAATGGGGGAGGTCCTGGCTGATTGGAAAAGGGTAAATCTAGTGCCTATTTTTAAGAAAAGGAAGAAGTAGGATCTAGGGAGCTACACACCAGTCAGCCTCACCTCAGTCCTTGGAAAAATCATAGAGCAGGTCATCAAAGAATCCATTTCTAACCACTTGGAGAAGAAGGTGATTAGGAACAATCATCACCAAGGGCAGGTCATGCCTGAGCCACCTGATTGCATTCTATGAGATGACTAGCTCTGTGGATGTGGGGAGAAGCAGTAGATGTGATACACCTTGACTTTAGCAAAGCTTTGATTACAGGTCTCCCCCAACATTCTCGCCAGCAAGCTAAAGTAGTACAGGTTGGATGAATGGACTGTAAAGTGAATAGAAAACTGTCTGGATTGTTGGTTTCATAGTAATCAGTGGCTTGATGTCTAGTTGGCAGCCAGTATCAAGTGGAGTGCTTCACGGGTCAGTCTAGGGCCCAGTTTTGTTCAATGTCTTCATCAACAATCTAGAAGGCAGGTACTGTGCATGTGGGCTTACCTGCCTGTTCAGTCAACACTGATTCAAAAACATGAAAGTAAAAGGCCATGTTTGTCAAAGGAAAAAGGGTTCTGGGTCTACAGCCGCTGAAAGATAGCTCATTTCTCTGCTCTCTCTGCTATAAAACATTTAACTACAAAAACTAGGGGAAGACTCCTGGCATGGGTGGGGACATTTCCTCATGTCTGCAAAGGATTAAGATACTCTCTCATCTCCTTCCTGCCTGCAAAGATGGACTAGTGATACATACAAAAAATGGCATGCGCTCTCAGAAGATAAAGGCAACACAGCTTTCTCTAGAAGTGGCACTGTTAGGACAAATGTTAGCCTACCCACTCCCACACCCTGCAAACTTGCTGATATATGATTCCATGGTAGTGTAAGGCACATTCATTTGGAGCACTCACAAACTAAACTTTTCACCGTCACTGACTTCCCTTTAAAAAAATGGAACAGGTGGAACGTTTCTTGTGCCAAGAAGCAGCTTTCAAGAAAGTGATCAAAACAGATTAGTAAGTTACTAATACAGCAGATATTTGAGTGTGATGGATGAAAAATATGGACACACCCACCCCGATAGGGTGTACACTTTAAAGACACTAATCCAGCTCTAGAAGTATTTCCCCTGCTTCAAACAGACACAGTATAGAAAGCCTTCAATTTCACTTAGGTTGGGGTGAACTAAATGCACTCATGTATGCATGTGACATTCCAACAATGCAGCAAATTTAGAAATACTGATTGCCAAGTGCTGTTGTGGAAAGGCCAGACAGACCCAACTTCCAGTGACACTTGTACCACTCCCTTCTATGGCAAGATGGCAGAATTAAAAGCGACTCTACAAGCAGGGAAACTCGTTCAGCTCATCTGTGCAACATACAGTTTATTAGCATTATCATCATCATCATCACTATCACCACGATCATCATTATTACTACAACTATTATACATTTTTAATAAATGTAAAGACACTTACTTCCTCATTTCACTCCCAACTGTTTGAGTTGATGTCTGCTGGTTTTTTGCCACCTAACTTTCATTTGGACACATTGCACTGTCCCCTACCCTCTGTCATTCCAACACAGTGCCACAACTGATGGATAAATGCATCTTCTGGCTAGGAAGATGAATACCAGCATTTCAGTTACCAAATCCTTGGATGCTGCTGCAAGGATAACTGCTTCTCCCACAAGACTAAGTGAAACTCCCATGTGTGCCCTTTGGTACTGAACACCCCTGACAGCCCTGGGAAGTGATGATCCTCAGTCCCTTTGAAACCACTCACACCCTCCTCTCCACTCTCCCATTTACCTGACATTTCCTCCAGCCTTCTGTATCCGCATTCGCTCTTCATACTGTGTAGGGTTGTGCTCTTTACTGAGACTTAAGGCTGAGTGTTTCTGACTCTCTTCATTGTAACGACACAGAATCGCCTGTGCTGACAAAAACCCATGTGAGTAAGGGATATCAAACCATTAACTTGAAGTCTCTACTAAACCACATGCTAAGCACTGCTTCCCCATCTACACAAAGGTTATCAAGTACAAGTCCTCAGCAATGCAAATACATGCCTGGGACAAAATCACTGTGTTGTATTTTGATCGCTTTGGTAAATGAATAGCTAGGGGTTTGCATCAATTCCCACAAACTACTTGTGTTTTTAAAGTAGTTTTAAGACAAGTAAGTAGAAGATAACCCAAAAAATGAATACAATCAGGTATCTAGCACCATCTAGAGTCCACCACAAGGCAATTAATGAATTTAAGAGCAGGGCATGAAACAAAGAGGAATGAGTAAGTTCTCATGACACATCCTCTCCAAACAGGAAACCACTTGCTGAATGACAATCAGCCCTGACAGGATTCCCTACAAAGGAAGCCCATTCTTTCTGGGGGTGATGGGCAATGTCACAAGACTGAAATTCCATGGAGCTGGTACCTCAGTGCTGCTTACCCGGCTGTCTCCAAGGCTGGCAATGTAGAGAATGTTATCTACAGCCAGGACACAGGTTGCTGTGGAGCCATCCTTCCAAGCAGGTTTCCTGAAGGCACCAGAAACAAAGTTACAAGGAGGAAAAGTCAGCTTTTGCTAAGGGCTGACCCTTGTGTCACATGCCTGAAGGTTCACAGAACTCAGCAAAAGGAAGTCTCCATCTCACGACATCCAGAACTCAGTTAATACAAGCCCCTGGGCTTCTGCTTGGGTGATCCCTCAGTTCTGCTCACAGGTTTGTCTAATTACCAATATAAAAAGTACAATACTTTTTTTTTTTTTTAAATCAGAGGCAGAGCAGGATACAGAAACATACCAGCTTCTCTTCATAAGGATAAAGTCCTGGCTATATAAGCTAACCTAAGGTTGAAAGGAAAAAAGCTGGGATGAAGATAGGAGATCTACAGAAAACACCTATTTCTATAACTGTGGAGTGGAATCTCCAGGTTGGGGCACCTCTGCCCAACTGCATAGTTTGCAGCTCCTAAGCTTCACAGCTCAGGATCATGGCCTGGAAGGGGTTGATGTTTATTAATAGATAGAAATAGCCCTGGGAGGCATTTACACTTACTGGCTGGAGGCCTGCTTTAGGAATTCCTCATCGGTGTGCTTGAAGGTATCCAGAAGACATCTCCTCACGGTTTTCTCCACACTGACCACCTCTCCTTCAGAAGAAACAATGGACATACTCCCATTGAAAACACTTAACATCACCTATTGCAGCCCCCTCTAACACCCTACACTTGGTCCAATGGTACACTGAGATATCAGAGCTTGCGCAAGGACGTTCCATTTGCAGGGCAGACATGGCCACCATGATGAGCATAACTGCACAAGATTTGGATGTAAATGTGCACAGAGAAATTGTAACATACCTCTTACTTCTACACCCCGGAAAGTAAGGGGTATTTATTGTAGTGCTATTCTTTTCCTCAACCATGCCTACAATATGCTACATACATACATACATACATACATACATATATATAGACCTTGCATAGCCAAGGCAAAAAAAAAACAAAACACTACAACAGTGATTACCAGGGACACTAACAAAAAAAATGCTCAATCATTTAGGGTCTCACCTCACCTCCAGGCTTCAGTTTCCCAAATCTCCACATGCAGCTATGCTCCTGTTCCTCATAAAACCAACCCTGGACACGCAAACAAGTTCACTCCTTAGTGAACACAGATGCAAGTCACAAGACATGGAAGACTGCCAATGCCCATCCTGCTCTCACCTTTTGGAAGTTTCTTAATCAGGTTTTGGTGGAGATTCTGTGCTGCAAATTTTGAGGCTCGAACTCCCCCGTGGCCATCAAAAACAGCAAAGTATGAGACACGGGTCCTGTGAAGAGCAAACATTAAACCAGACAGGCTGTGAAAGGGCTGGCATGGGACAGGACATGTCCCTAATCATCATCCTACTCTCCAATCCTGAAAGGGAAGATGTGGCAAGATGGACCCAAGGCCATAGTTAACAGTTGCTGGACAGTCTGTTTTGTGGGCAGGCCAACTGTGAAGCCTCTCTCTAGCAGTTCCAAAATTCAGTATTTCATCGATAGTGACCCAATACTTCCCAGCTGGCTTTGCTTGCAGAATGATTCTTATAGCTCCACTAGACACTAGACTCGCACATATTAGCTATGTGAGGCTTGAGATAGTTTGGTCCTATACTGGGCTTTTAAACTCATGTTTTGATGTCATCATTCCTTATCATTTGACAGTGTTTTAAAATGATACATTACTTTCCAAGTGAATTCTACTTTTCAGATTATTCAGTCTGAGGTCAATATGAGGTGGCTCCTTTGCTAAATATCTGTGCTTTCCATTGCTGCAACCAGAACTTTAATCTCAGTAACATTCCAAAGGGAAGGTTTAGTTAAAACCTTTAAAAGCCCAGCCATACCTTGTCATGCATCCAAAGATGCATCTCAAGCTGGTCCAGAGAGGTGATACTCCCCCTCTATGCGACTTTGGTCAGGCTGCAGTTGGAGTACTGCGCCCAGTACTGGGCACCGCACTTCAAAAGGGATGTGGCCAGCCTGGAAAGGGTTTGGAGGAGGGCCACCCGCTTGGTGAGAGGGCAGCAGGACAGGCCCTACGAAGAGAGACTGAAGGACCTGAACCTGTTTAGCCTCAGCAAGAGGAGGCTGAGGGGGGACCTGGTGGCTGCCTACAAACTCATCAAGGGGGATCAACAGCAAATAGGCAGAGCTCTTTTCTCCCCAGCACCACCTGGGGTGACGAGGAACAATGGTCATAAACTGATGGAAATAGGTTTAGGTTGGAGATCAGAAGGCAATATTTTACAGTAAGGGTGGCCAAAATCTGGAACCAACTTCCCAGGGAAGTGGTCCTCACCCCTACCTTGGGAATATTCAAGAGGAGGTTGGATGATCACCTGTCTGGGGTCTTGTGAACCCAGCATTCATTCCTGCCTGTGGCAGGGGGGCAGGCTAGATGATCTGTTCAGGGCTCTCCTGACCCTAGCTACTATGAAACTAGATAGCTGTATTCACCCAGAAAACCTCTGACTTTGTGTGACTAACTTAGGCCCTTAAATTCTGAGGTGCTAAGCCCTACATAATTCCTAAGGAACCAATGGGATTGTGGGTTGCTGGTGCCTCAGGGAAACTCATGGACTGGGAAACTGGTACTGACTACTCAGAATGAGACATGTCTTACACAATCAAATACTACAGCCCTGGCCCAAGGTTAGATTGCTAGCTACTGGTTTTGTCAGCAGAAAGCCTGCGGATGCAATCCAGGCCACTACATAACCCACAGAGTGACAAAGTCAAAAGCATTAACGGCTTAAGAAGTGAGAGGGGTCACTGTCAAAAGCTTAATAGGGCCTCTTTCATCTCCTTGTGATAACACCACCCTTCTGTTTCCTGACTCCTACGGTCTGAGACTACTTACACTTGAGAAGGAAGGGGTCGGCACTCCTCTGTGATATCATTCAGGATGACATGGGCATCCTGCATTTCTTCTCGTTCACCTTTCCTCTCGGCTACGTAACCTTTCAGTGCAAAAATGCCAGCAGATCCTAATGGGAAGCAAACGAAAGACTCTTTCATCTCCTGAGCTTAGTTTACAGAGTAGTAAACTGGTGATCGCTTTGCTCAGTGCAGCATTCCGAAAAATCCCACGGCACCATTGTAAGTGGCATCTCTTGCTTTCCAAGACTGCATTTGGCACCTTCTACTGAAAGTGGCATGCTCTGACACTTCAGGATTCCAAGTCCCACACAATGTCAGAAACTGCAAGGCTGTTTACACACTAATGTAACAGAGCATGTCTGAGTGCTTTGGAAAGTCTAATGCGTTAACAGATGCCACTGAAAATCTAGGGGGTGGGGGAAGAAATATACTCCATAGGAACTCTCTTGATCAAACAGCAAACCCTTAAAGGTTTTCCTAGGAACAGGAAAGTAGAGGATAGTAGAGGACACAGAGGTACATTTTACTGGAACAACATTTACTGTAACTTCTAGTTTGAGCCTACTGAGCACATTCAGTGCCCAAATCCTAGTGCAAAATGTGGGTACCTACATCACTGCCTTGCACATCTGCAATGGAAGTTAAGTATGCCAGAGGCGAAGGATTAAATCAGTTCTCCCAAAGGATTCTTAGCAGCTGTTTGTAGAAGTTATTCAAGATGCTAACATAGCAAGGGGGTCAGCACCAATCTGCTAGAAGGAGGCTAAGCAGTTACTTTCCCATCTTTGCTGCTTTGGGGGCAAGGGAACCAAAATTTATGTTCTGTCTGTGGGTACTTGGACAGTTGTAAAAATACCTACTTCGGTACTCTGCTGCTTCAGGACAACTGCCCAGTGTCCTAAATGGGCAAGGGCATGATTAGGGAGTGTGTCCAAACCATAAGAAGTTGCCACATCTTGGGCAATGGAGTTTAGAAAGAACAGGGCAGGCATTTCATTTCTTGAGAGGCCATAACAAGGCAGACTGAGGAACCATGCTTGGTATTGTTCTGGACTTACTCAGCCCAATGTCATGAGTATAAATTGAGTACATTTGTTTTCAAACTGTCTGAAAACCTTTACAAACTTTCTTTTCCACAAGTTCTTCACTGCCATTCTTCTCTTCCTCTGAGGATTTCCTCTTCTTGCCTTTTCCATGACTCCCTACTGAGACCTGCTCAGTGGTGCAGAAAGCTGAAAGACAGCAAACACACAGACAGCTGAAGATTTGGTCATTTTAATTTTATTCCTGAGAATCTCTAACTTATGTTGATGATAACATTTCCTTTTGCACTGATGTGCTATGGACCTGCAATTTTATGACCAGATAGCACAGTTGGGTTGAGAGATTTCTCTGGTCCTTAGTCTCAGATAATCTGGAAATTGTTAGTCCAGGATTTGAGTTAGTTGATTTTAACATACCCAAATAACAAGTTAAAGACGAGGTACTTCTACACTGCAGAATGTGACCATCACAAGAAGGGTTTTGTGTTTTTTTTTTTTACTGATTTAAGATAGACAATAGCATCCTGTATGTGTTACCTGAGAGGATGAATTACAATACGAAGTCAAGTGCCATGAGGAAGTACCATAATTAGTCTTGTACCTGACAATGAAGTCAACACTCTAGTCTTTTCCCACTGGAGGCATATGCTCACATCATGATGAGTTACTTGTTCACTCTCTGGTCCCCAGTGAACATATGTCTACAAAAGTGAAATTTGGCAAGATTGGCAGTCTACCTTTAAGAGGAATTCAGGACTGTAATAGCAAGGTGCAGTTTCAGCTAGGATTGTATCATAAAGAAGCTCCTTTGGTGCTTAACTGTATGGCATGCTTGCTTGTTGTCAGGTCTCTAACTTCATGCTAGCAACTATGATTCAATCCAATCCCTTCCAAAAAGGCCCACAGTAAAACTACCCTTATCCGTAATCTTTCAAGGATGTCAGAGATGTTGTGGGGTTGTTTGAAAGGTGCTTGCCCTTACATCTTGGAAGAGCCCTATGTTTGATTAACTGAGATCTTCAGTTACAGTAATAGGTCACCATTACTAATAGCTCAGATCAACTACTCACCTAGATAGAGGTAAGACTACTGGACTGAACAAGGTGACAAATTTTAGGCAATTCCAGACAGACAAGCTATGCTGATATATTCTATAGAAAAGGGCAGATGAACAGGCCCTGGGGAAGACTGTTACAGCACCTTACCTGAGTCACCACTGCTGGCTGGTGGGAGATCATCAAAAAGCAAAGGTCCGCCTTTCCCTGAAACATAAGAGAAAAGCGGACAAGGCATTAACAGTGTTTCCATCCTGTCATCAGCAAAATTTTGAGCAGAGCCCACACATGCAGTGGCTACAATTAAGCCTACCCAGCTGAGTCTGGGTTCACACTTCCCCAGGACACAAACGGCTGTTACTAGGCAGTCAGTGGAAAGACTTAAGCTTTATCTTACTCACATAAACATTTCCAAAAAAACCCCCATGAAGCCATGTGAATATGTTGGAAGGCTTTATTCCATACACAGGTATGGCACAACCTTCAACAACATCTCAAAGCAAGGATGCTGCCAAAACTATGGAAGCCAGCTACATCCCAAAGACAGTGATTAGAGCTCCCATACCTGAGTCAGTACTACTGACAGGCGGAAGATCGTCAAAAAGCAGAGACCCTTTCTGGGCTTCTTTCCCTGAAAAACATCACAGCACAGAGTCAGAACACACTTCATTTTTCGAGAAAGAAAAGCCCCATGATTCTAGAATAAAATATCTTGCTTTCAACAGATCCCTCCATCCTAACTGCAGGCAGGTACAACACAAGCAGAAATGGTCATTTGCCTGGAAACAGAAGTTTTTTCACACCTGTTCTAACTAATGTGCTTCTGATTTAAAAGAGTAGAAATATTAGGAACCTTAGTAGTCCTGTTCAACACACTGCAGGAAATGAGGAGGTCACAGAAACTGTTACATGGTGGTAGTGAGCTCTGGCATGCATATTTAATGATCATTAGTAGCACAGTAACAAGCTGGCTACTTGCAACAAGCTGCGTGGATAACACTGCCATTCTAAGCTGCATCTGAACTGTTCTTAGGAAAGGCAGGACATCTCATTTCTTCCTCCTGTTCAGCTGTCTACCAGACAAAGGCTTTCTTCCCTCTGAATCCCATCTGTTTACCATGTAGTTCTTCCATCTAACTCCAAGCTGCTGGGAGTGTTCTGCAGCCCATATCCAGCACACACCAATTTCTTTACAATGTCTCTTGTCACATATGAACAACAGTTGGGAGTTTTCTGAGGTTATGCACAATACTTTATTTGAAAAAGATTAATTAAAGTAAGTCTGTCAACATGAGTACTTTAAGAACCACTGGTTTAAAAAAATCCTGAGAGGGCAGTCATTAAAAATCAGGACCCACTATTTAACTTAATTTTGTAAAGGGGTTTTACCTCCATCTTCATGTTTGAGGGTCATTCCAGATGAGGGAAATGCTGGCTACACAGGGAAGTGAAGCCGGCTACACAAAATGCTATCAAAAGCACCAGGTGAATTAAAAACGATTCACTAGCTTAATTTAACTCCACAAATGCTAGTTACTTGTAATTACTGTAGGCTTAAAAACTTTTCTGGAAGGAATGTGAACTAAAGGGATAGCTACCAACTTAAAAAAAAAACCTCTCTTTTTAACTATGTAAGCGTGGAATGGAGTTGAGCAAATGGCTAGAATAACCAAGCCCTCCCCTCTGCAAAGACTTACACATGCCTAACTTCAAGGAATGTGACTAATAAAGTCTCTTGCTTCCAACAAGAGGCTACTCACAGTGCATCAAGTAAGGCACATTTAACATTTGTATGAATCGGGCATAAGCCAAGTTGGAAGGGTGGGAAACACTGCAAGGCCAAGGCGCATTAGAAATGGAGATGAATGCCAGGGAATTGCTACACGTAGAATAGACCTCAGCATATTGGTTTGGTTACATTTTTATGCAGATCTACCCTGTTTTATTCATACCAAAGAGACATTTTAATAGTGACAGTAGTCAAGACAAAAATATAGAGCTGCAAAATGACAATCCTGCAGCAGGAAGAAAAGGACCAATAAAACTGTGATCAAATTAACTGATCTGGATTTGTTTGCAGACAGTTCACGTAAATATCTGTTTTTTTCCCCTAGACAAAACACGTACCCAGGAAAATGGATTTCATTAAGTAGCAAGCACTTGCATTCTCTCTCAAAGCTGTACAGGAAAGGTCGTACTTACATGTATGTTACAAAAAATGCTTTTTTGTGGAAAACTGACAAACTAAGATAGATCATAAAGATTAGATGGGGGGAAGGATCAGATTCTGTCATATTCCCAGTCAAGGGCACTATGCATAAAGTTAGGTCCACTCAACATGTGAAAGAGGGGTAGGATCTGGTCTTAAAGAGCACCAGGCTATATGCAGCAGTACTCACTTAAATAAAAGGAGCTAGATTAAGGTTAAGTGCTCACCCACTACTTTGGCAAACCCACACATGGGAGACTAGGTAAGAGGCAGGAGCTGTCAGATTATCCCTGTACAGATCCTGCAGCCATTACATGGCCCAATTGCTTTGGGACTAGTGTCCTACTTTTTTAAAGGTGCCAACAAGCTGCATATGTTAATTCCCTTTGAAAGACACTGGTGTTTTGATTTCATACCAAGGTATTTTCCTGATCTGAATGAAGACCTGTGTAAAATGCTCTGGCATGCTAACTGCAGCCAGAAATATGTCCCCTTTTCAG